ATCCGACAACCTTGGGCGAACTGAAGGATATGTTGAAGACGCTTCTCAAGAAGTCAGCGGAGCAGGAGGACATACTGAAGGCTCTCACGACAGCAAGTAAGGTGCGCGAAAAGGGCCGAGCACGACGATCGCTTGGGCGGTTCAAGCTGCACAGCCTCCGCTTCGCAACGCCACGCACTGTACGGAGAACCAAAAGTGATATAACACAACCACTGTCGTTGCGAGCTGCGGATCCAACTCCAAAACGAACCAACGGAACAACGAGCACAAGACCAGCTGGTTCAGGAGAGATCACGCAGGACCGCCAAGCTCCTTCAGGAAAGATCGCAGAGGAACGCCAAATTGCTTCACGAAGGATTGCGGAGGAACGCCAAGCACTCCCATCTGATGCTGCTACAGACTCCTGCTTCAACAGCTGCATCTTCAAGTTTTTCATCATACTCCAAAGAATTTTCCAACCTTTTTTGGTTTTGGTTTTGCATTCGAACGATAGATTGACAAGGTTTTCAAACAAGGGAAATCCACCGTTGCTATGCCAATAATCAAAGCATCGACACATCAGCTGTAAACACACACACACACGCAAATTGGTCATGAGTGGGCTTGAATGGTATGTAGCTTTGATTATTCAAGCAGTGATTCTGCCGAGTACATAACAGAGCGATCTAATGTGAATGACCTTTTTGTGTTCATCTTCAAAGTTATAAATAATGTAGGCGTTTCGCTATCCAGTTTAAAACTAAGAGTTTACTCGTTCCATTTTGATTCTACCATATCATGCTTCCGCTATTCGGTGTGACATACCAACCAAGCAGAATGGAAACAAGGCGAATAGGGACATACCTCAACAGTAGCAGAAGAGAGGAAAAGGATTTGAACATTGGAAATCCAAGCAAAGAACTTGGCATCGTCTTCAGGCTCACACGGATAATGCCGTGGGAAAGCAAGATCGATGCGGGCTTCGAGAAGGGAGTCGAGGAAATTGGCGGTCCAATAATTAACCCACAGAGCATTGTCAGATTAGTGGAGGTAGGTAAGGTTTGGTGTGTTGAATGCCAAACGACGGCGTCTGGGGTGAGGGACAGTATAATCAAGGAGAATAGTGATTCTCTTGATGGTATTGTGACAGAAATCATAAGGTCCCACCCACCGTGGATGATTAATGTACTTATGATGTATGTATAATTCCTCGAGCACAGGGCAACCAAAAAGTACCAAGTCGCAGAAATCATGATTTGAAAACTAAACTGTATGGAGGAAGAGACTCTTAAGCACGGGAAGAGAAACCACTACCATTGGTAAAGGATTATGTCCAATACAAGTCTCTGTTCCTAATGTAAGCTTGACCAATGTCTTGCTTCGGAAGAGACTGCAAGGAAGAAGACGCATGAAGTGGTATCCTTCTTCGCCGGAAATAATAGGTGTTTTAAAGCGCAGATCCAGATCAGAGACGCCTTGTTCCACGGCATTCGATATCCATCGGTTGGTATGAGGCCAAAGGTACTCAAAATCATCATCTTCACATTGCAAAGAGAGTTTCTTGATTCCATTATTACCTTGTTGTAGCAGAGACAGTGCTGAATCAACTTGAGCCCTTAAGCTCTCCCGAAGAGCATCTACGCTTCTCTGTCTATTGGGATAAAGGAGATACGAGTCGTCGAATTGGAGATGATGATCAGATACATAGAAGCGAATCATCTTTGAGAAGAGATTCCTCCAGCGTTTGGAGAGAATTGGTGTGGAAGCAGCGAGTTTAGTGGGAAGCAAGCACAAGATCTGGCTAAGTATCTCATCTGGAAGCGAACTAATTGCATCTCCACACCCAACTTCCACTTTTTTGGATCCATCGGACACAGATCTTGATATCAAACGCTGGACTTAGTTCGAGATTCAAAACAGAGCCCTACACGGGGAAAGCTTAACACAACAGAGCTTCTTAACCTACTTTTTTTTTTCTTTTTAAATCGTATG